ACTTTTACACTCAACATAGCCACTTCATATGTGCACTTGCTCTGGAATGTGAAAAATATCCTTTCTATTTTATTCAGCTAAGTTAAATGATATTCTTCTTACTATAAAATTATATAAAAGAATGGCACAGGATTTATAAGCATATCTTGTCAGCTAAATTAACTAGCCTACAGCCTATGGCCTGGAGCGTAGCCAGATAACATACAGTAGGCCAACTCATATTCTGTTGTTCTGAAATACATTTTCTTCATATCATAATGTTTCTTTAGACCTGCCAAAAATAAATAATAATGTAATTATTGTGATGGTATATATTAAATGGATTTATTAGATTTTTAATGTAGATGTTCCAAAGGCGTGCATCAGCGGCTTGTATGTGTGGAGGCCTGGAGATGCTAAACCTGTTTATGTTAATTAATGGTCAATTACCGTGAGACTGGCATCATATTTGCATGACAATAACCGGCTGACAAAATGTCATGATCACCACTGCCATAGGCAGGGCTGTATCTGGAACTGCATGTTGAAGATAGACATAGAATGAACAGGGGTCACACAATCTACTATACTATTCCAATCTATCTGACAGTCATATTGGATCTACACAGCACATTTCTATCTGAACATTTAGTAAATATCCATTCTCCTGAATATCCATTGCCCCAGGTGTACATCAAGTCAAACCAATTAACCAATGATATCTTGTACAGATAAGTATAAATAAGTTGTGACACTCCACTACTGTATGACTCTTTCAACATGCCACTGAAAAGGTTGAAAGCTGCAATTAATGTTATGATTCCTAAAAATACTGCAGAGTAATTCAAAGCCATTTGCAAACATTTCAAACAGCAAGTTGGATGCTTAGCAAAAACCATTTCAAACCTATTTGTCCATCTGAGGGTGTGTTCTTGTTTCAAACACACAGAATACAAACTAACATTATTTTACACCTGCCTTGACTGTTGTTGATTCAAGAAGACAGTTTTGTAATATTTAGTTTCCTTTGGACACTTAATAGTCATATTGTGTTACTGTTAGCATTCTCAGAAACACTTAACATTAAACAGTTTATGTGCCTGTGTAACAATAATCACAAAGTTACTACACATGTATAATAACTTGATGTCAAGTGTTACTGTATTACCTTATGTCTCACTCATTATGAAAATATGCTAATGATCATATATTTAGACTAATTCAATTAAATCTTGTAGTTTTTGGTTCATCAAATATTTGGCAACCATCAAATACATATTTATTTGTTTTCAACTAACTTAATAATATATTCAAATACCTTCAAATATTATTTGGTTTTCTGAGAGATACAGAGCATTCGGAATGTATTCAGACACCTTGACTTTTTCCACATTTTGTTATGTTACAACCTTATTCTGAAAATTGATTAAATAAAAATAAATCCTCAGCTATCTACACAAAATACCCCATAAAGACAAAGCGAAAACAGGGTTTTAGAAATATTTGCAAATGTATTTGCTATGAGACTTGAAATTGAGCTCAGGTGCATCCTGTTTCCATTGATCATCCTTGAGATGTTTCTAAAACTTGATTGGAGTCCACCTGTGATAAATTCAATTGATTTGACATGATTTGGAAAGGCACACACCTGTCTAAATAAGGTCCCACAGTTGACAGTGCATGTCAGAGCAAAAACCAAGCCATGAGGTCAAAGGAATTGTCCATAGAGCACCAAGACAGGATTGTGTCGAGGCACAGATCTGGGGAAGGGTACCAAAACATTTCTGCAGCACTGAAGGTCCCCAAGAACACAGTGGCCTCCAGCATTCTTAAATGGAAGAAGTTTGGAACCACCAAGACTCTTCCAAGAGCTGGCCGCCCGGCCAAACTGAGCAATCGGGGGAGAAGGGCCTTGGACAGGGAGGTAACCAAGAGCCCGATGGTCACTCTGACAGAGCTCTAGAGTTCCTCTGTGGAGATGGGAGAACCTTCCAGAAGGACAACCATCTCTGTAGCGCTCCACCAATCAGGCCTTTATGGTAGAGTGGCCAGACGGAAGCCACTCCTCTGTAAAAGGCACATGACAGCCCGCTTGGAGTTTGCCAAAAGGCAACTAAAGACTCTCAGACCACGAGAAACAAGATTCTCTGGTCTGATGAAACCAAGATTGAACTCTTTGGCCTGAATGCCAAGCGTCACGTCTGGAGGAATCTTGGCACCATCCCTACGGTGAAGCATGGTGGTGGCAATATCATGTTGTGGGGATGTTTTTCAGCGGCAGGGACTGGGAGACTAGTCAGGATCGAGGGAAAGATTAACGGAGCAAAGTACAGAGAGATCCTTGATGAAAACCTGCTCCAGAGCGCTCAGGACCTCAGACTGGGGCGAAGGTTCACCTTCCAACAGGACAACGACCCTAAGCACACAGCCAAGACAATGCAGGAGTGGCTTCGGGGCAAGTCTCTGAATGTTGTTGAGTGGCCCAGCCAGAGCCCAGACTTGAACCTGATCTAACATCTCTGGAGAGACCTGAAAATAGCTGTGCAGCGATGCTCCCCATCCAACCTGACAGAGCTTGAGAGGATCTGCAGAGAAGAATGGGAGAAACTCCCCAAATACAGGTCTGCCAAGCTTGTAGCGTCATACCCAAGAAGACTCAAGGCTGAAATTGCTGCCAAAGGTACTTCAACAAAGTACTGAGTAAAGGGTCTGAATACTTATGTAAATGTAATATTTGAAAACATTTCTAAAAACCTGTTTTTGCTTTGTCATTATGGGGTATTGTGTGTAGATTGATGAGGGGAAAAACTGTTTAATCAATTTTAGAATAAGGCTGTAACGTAACAAAATATGGAAAAAGTAAAAGGGTCTGAATACTTTCCGAATGCACTGTATTCAAAATACTTTCAATATCATTTGTTTTTCTGAGACCTGTATTTGAATATCAAAGAAAATAGTTGCCTTTTAGTTGAAACTCTATATAAACTATATTCGACTACATTGAGTATTTGAAAAGTTGGTATTTTCAAATAAACTACAAAATACTACTATTTTCTGCCCAAGTCTGTTGTGTGTAACAGATGGATACTATCTGCATTAGCAGAGTATCTGAAGTGAACTAGCCTAATGTAGTCTAAAATGCGGAAAATCTCAACATCGTGTGTGGTCAAATACACTATGCTTAATTGGGGTACTATTATATCAGTTTATTTAACACTGTGAGCTCAGCACTTAAGCATTGAGACATACTTTAATGTGTTTAGGTGCTCCTCACTCAAAGATGTCTAAAGTGGTCATACTGTAATGTACTCCAGGAAAATGCAGCGATTACATCACTGCGGCCTGAGCTAATGTTTAGACATGACGCAATCCCTGATATAAAGCACTTTGTAATAACCATCAGAGGGCTTGAGTAATAACATACAGAGGCCTAATGTTATGAAGATACAATATCTATGATGTGCTAAGAGAAGAATCAAACCCAATGTGCAGTTCACAATTTATTTACTGAATAAATTTGGACAAAACACCTAAATCTGTTACATTTTACAATCAGAACATCTGAGGCAGAATTCCCACCATGCATCACTCCCCTCCAAAACAAAAAGACTCCTTGAACATTAGCACCAAACCAGCACTAACGCAAATATGGGCAGCTCATTCTATTAAACAAAATAAAAGCAATAGTCAGTTTTAAAAGCAACTCAAAATAGAACATTTCTGATAAAATGTTTTTACTTTAATAAAAAAACAAGCTTGTTTTGTTTCACCCTGCTAGGCAGGTGATAGCATTCATAGGGCACATGCCGAGGACTAGTTAATAAAAACACAAATTCAAGTAACATTGAGATACGACAAAACATGTCCACTGGTACCCATTCAGAACAGGACAGTTTCACAGGACCTACACAGGCAGAAGAAAATCAACATGGGCTACTGCAGAACATGTTACTGTAATAGTATCTTTTAATAATTGGTGTCAAGTTCAAAATAAAATATATTAAGGGTGACTGAAGTTGGCATGGGTGGTGCGGGCACAGAAATACTGGCATAAAAGTTTAATAGTTTTTTCTAAAAACTTCGGACAGCCTTTTTCCCATCGCAACTGTCCTGTGTCCAAAATATTGCCTACAATACATACATGAAAAAGGAATCTCTGAAAAAGAAAAACCCTGCAATGTTTTTTTTAAAATATATATATATTTATATTTATATAGTTGTTGTTACAATTTAAATAAAACGTAACGTTTTCCGTTCCTACAAATGAAAAGCTAAACTTAAATAGAGAAAGTGAGTCTAGAGAGGTGATAACGATTGTTCACTGAACCTAAACAAATCAAGCGCATTATGCCACGTGGTGAAAGCTTAACGAGAGAGAGAGAGAGGTTACAAATTAAGGTTAAGGAGAAGATATCAAAGCAGCAGTAACAATTTAATGGAATAGCTTAATACAACAAGGTGATATCAAGGCCCCGTGTAGCTCAGTTGGTAGAGCGTGGCGTTTGCAACGCCAGGGTTGTGGGTTCGATTCCCACGGGGGGCCAGTATGAAAATGTATGCACTCACTAACTGTAAGTCGCTCTGGATAAGAGCGTCTGCTAAATGACTAAAATGTAAATGTAATATCAGACTTAAAACCTAGCCTTATAAATGAATGGTGGTGGAACATTGTTTTTTAAAAGAAATGCACACAATAAGTGGGGGAGGAATAAGGCTATACAGAAAAAGATGATGAAGCACACAGGTTTCTGAAGACGGGTACGTGCAATAATTGAGTGAGTATCCGTCTTCTATGTCAGTAAGAGCTTTATAACCTAGGGTCAAAGGTCATGTTAGGTAATGAGAGACAAACACTGAGTGAGAAAATAAAAATGAGGTCATCTGTCCTGATGATTGTTAGAACAGATTAGGTAGAAGTTGTCCCTAATCACTGGTCCAGGGTCAGATATTGTTTTAATCCTCCTAATAATGGTTCAGTTTAGGATTGAGCGTTGGGTTATCTGATCCTAGATCTGTGGTTAGCAGGCAATTTATACCTGGTCATGTGAAAACTCATAGAGGAGTGTAGTAGCAGTTTGACTGACTGACATGTGTCTTGTTCTCCTTGGCTGTGGTCTTGTGTCCCTTCGTGCTTTCTGTAGCGTCACAACATGTCGTATGTATCTACTTTTAAATGCACCCCCCCCCAAAAAAATAATTATGTTTGCTACATTGTTTGCGACTTGCATGTCTAGTGGCAGCAAACTCCTCTTAACAGAAGTCCTGCCCCTGTGATGTTTGTACGCCATTCACCACTTGGCTCCGCCTCGAGGTTGGTTTTCCATGGAATGGAAAGGAAAAAAAGATGGAAACACCTTTTCTGTGAGTGACAATGTTTCACCTGCTAAACAACTAATCTACCGTTAGGCTCTTTCCGAGCGTGTCACATTTGTTCCGCGTTGTGGCGTAGTCCTCCCTTTGTGCTTCATGTCTGCTCAGCTGAAGAACTGATCCAGCTCCTCCTCCATGTTCACCTCGGGCACAGTCTGCTCCTGCTCCCTCTCCCCTCTCCCCTGGACCACAGCACCACCTGCTGCCCCGGAGGATAAGAACCAGGGGTGCTCCAGGATCTCCCGGGACGTAAGGCGCTCTGCGGGCTCCCGGCGGAGGATACTCCGGATCAGACACTTGGCCTTGGGCGTCAGGGTCTCTGGGATGCTGAAGTGGCCCCGGCGGATCTTACTGAACAGGGAGCCGGGTTCTACATCGTGGAAGGGGTAGCGGCCCACCAGGATGGTGTAGAGCATGACGCCCAGGGACCAGACGTCGGCCGCCTTGCCCGAGTAGCTGCCGCTGGCGTTGAGGATCTCGGGGCTGACGTAGGCAGGGCAGCCATGTTTGTCTGACAGAGAGTCGTCATGACCCTCCAGGATGTAAGTGTCTTCTAGGCTCTCCAGCTTCACAAGGCTCCTGGAGGGAGACAAGAACAGACAACAAACAAATATTAATACCCTGAGTCCTCTTTCCACAGGAGGATGAATACAAAATCCATTCTGATAAGAATCATATCTGACCTTTATATAACCGATGGACAATGACGCATTTTCTAATTTAAATGTAATTGGGCCATAAAATCAAAAGTACATTGTGAGTATAGAAACGCTTCTGCCGCACAGTTCTTGATCACTGTAGGCAGTTGCCCTCTTCTAGTGGGAGCACAATGTAATTCACTGTGATGGACATCATCCGCATGTTTTCGATCCATAGCTTTGGACATTAAATTACGTAGAGCACATAATGCCGGGGGCTTACATCTGACATTTCCATTCACAGAGATAAGAGCAGCGCACCCAGCATGCATCAGCCTATTTATAGCCCAGCTGATTCAATAGGCCACTCCAGCCCAACAAAGAACCACCATTATGGACGACTTCAGTTCAGGGGCCTTGAGTCAGCATGCGGTAAGAAGAGTTTCAAAACGGAAATCAAGCCTCAAAAGGGTTATCATCATCAGTGTATTTTTTTTAAAAGAGACCCATTAAGCCTTGTCTCTTTTCAAAGCAGACCTTCACAGCCATGTTTCTCTGAGAGCTGCTGATCATAATGATGGGTTGTTCAGAGGCACCATGACTGATGAGGGCTCTGGAGTGGCTCACGGTATACAGACCCTATACACAGATGAGAAAGGGACACTTGTGAGGCTCCACCTAAAGTGTCTCCATCTGTTTATGTGGGAGGGGCTCTTAGTGACACACACACATATTCTGGGAGAACTGAACACTTCATCCATTGTAGCCCTTTCCTGCAGTTAAATGACCTATTATTAATATTTTTCATAATTTCATAATAAACATATATTTTTTTAACGCAGAAAATCCAGTGTTTCTATGTCAAACAGGTATTTCTTTATTTTGTCTTCTGTGATGTATATAAAGTGTAATATTGGGATGCAAACTCAAAATTGAATACATTTCAACTCTATATCTGACATGGTACAGGTGTCTCCTTTTTTTAAAGCCCATATTTTATTTTATTTAACCTTTATTTAACTAGGAAAGTCAGTTAAGAACAAATTCTTATTTACAATGACGGCCTACACCGGCCAAACCCGGACGACGCTGGGCCAATTGTGCGCCGCCCTATGGGACTCCCAATCACGGCCGGTTGTGATACAGCCTGGAATCGAACCAGGGGGTCTGTAGTGACGCCTCAAGCACTGAGATGTGTGTGAGGTGTATACTTTTGTTACAAAGTAGATTTGTTTAAGATGACCAAGAAACACTCTGTTTGACACTGATTTAGCCCACTGCAGTAAAAGGTTAATTAAGGAGGAGAAGAGCAGAGCTGCAGCCAGCAGTGGCTAATGCATATTCAGAAAATGTCTTCCTATTGTCTGTGACACGCGCACCCACTCATGTGCACAAGTGCGCAAACACACACCTCCACTGATTTGTGCTTAGGCTTGACTTTATGTTAATTGTGGGATTTTGTACCGTCCGCTTCACTTGTTCAGATTTATTGTGTTCTAGGAGCTTGATTTCAGGTAGTTGAGAGTATGCAATCAATGCATTACCTCAATTGGTCCGATAAAAACCTTTATAAGCAGCCCATTTAGAAATGTCACTAACAGAGCTACCTACAACATACATACCAGCAAACACTCTATGTAGCCAATAGAATAGAGAGGTTGACATATTTCTTACTACTGCTGACATAGCATCTCATGTTAAGTATGACCCCATAAAGACGTTAAAAATACATTAAAACACGTTGCTGGGTTAAAAGGTCACTGTCTGGTACATTAAGGACAATGCTTGTAGGTTGGGTTCTAGACCTATAACCTTTCCTGGGGGACAGTGAGAGGTCAATTCAACCATGATGACATAAGCAGGTTTCCCACACACTGCAAATACTGTAACTGCTGTGGCCATATCAACTTACTGGGTCACCTATCTCTCTCTCTCCCTATCTCCCTTCTCTGGCCTGCCACTAAAGCTCTGGGACTTGGCTTTTGGCCAGGGTGACTCTGAATAGTCTGAAGTGGCTTCCTCTCCAGTCTCCTCATCTCCTTTCCTTCATCTGCACTGATTTGAAAGAGCTGGATAGGCGAAAGCAGATTCCCAGTAGCCTGCCACTGTACTGCTGCGATTTAAAAAAAAAAAATGTTTTCATCTCGTGCTAGCTTGTTTTTTCCGTTCAGTCCAAATGTAGGAGAGGATACAAGGATAGGAGCAGAGGAAGGAAGACACTTAGAATTAGATGCACCCCCAGTCCCCACCCCACAGTGTCTCTCTTCACCCCCCTTGAACCAAGCTCTGCCCCCATCAATCATTCAGCTGTCACATCCCAACCTGGTTGGCCCTGTCATGGCAGCCAAGTTTGTTAAGAGTGCTATTAAATGAGCGTGGCAGTCGGCTCAGCTTCCCTTTTCAATGAGCAGAGCCAGAGGGTGACGCAGCCATACATTCACATAGATAAAGGGCATCTACTCCACTGCCAGGTTGGAGCAGAATGAGGTCCTGAACAGATCTAGGATCAGCTTACCCTTCGCCCAATGTAACCTTAACCATTGGAGGAGAAAACACAAAGCTGACTTGAGCTCAGTGTGTGTCTGGGCAGGGGCATTCAGATAGAGGGCATCCAGTCAGTGCCAGGAACAGCACATGCTTGCTTTGACAGTCAGTTAAAAAAGCAGCACTAGAATATGTTTTTATCACTGTTCTCCTGGATCACTATAATGATAAATGTGGACAGCCCACCACCAGGGGTCAGTATATACTACAGCCTGCACTAGCTGATGTCGGTGTAGAACCGATTCATTACTCTGTGCCACAGCCTTACATGGTAAATCCCAACGTAATTGAACATCTGTCAGACAAAGCAACTCCTGGCATCTCTGCTACACTGTCCACCAGTTTAACAGCAGTTCAGCTAGCTGGTCTGGGGTCTAGACTGTATCCAGGAGTCACCCTGCTTGTCCCCAAGCCACATACATGTGTGTGTACTCCTAGTTATATTGCATACCTCCAATATGGCGACCTCTGATCTAAATAGAAACTGCTCAACTTCATTATTATGTTACGACAACATTGTTACTGTAGTAATTACAGTGTTAATAAAAGGTGGAACTTCATGTAAAGAGCAGGGTTATTTACATTCATATCAATTTACAATGAGCATAAGGTGAGAGACTCGTTCATCCCCCCTCGCCCTCCCCCACCCCGTCCCCTTTCTCACCTGTCCTCGTTCCTAAAGACAAACTTCCTCAGCTTGAGGTCCCGGAGGACCACGCCGTTATCATGGCAATGCGCCACGGCCGAGGCTATCTGACGGAAGAGCCTGGCGGCCTCGTCCTCGCGCAGCTTCTTGCAGGTGCGGACGAAGGAGTGCATGTCTCCGTGGCTCCTCTCGAAGAAGACATAGGCCCGCTGCTCCCCGAGCAGGATCTCCACCACCTGGTTGATGTGCTCATGTCTGCCCAGGGCGAAGTAGGCCGCCAGGGACTCCTGGTAACGGCCTATCTCAAACACCTGGAGAGGGGGAGGGAGCAGGGAGAGGGGGTGGGTGGGGAGAAAGGAGGGGGAAGGAGTTTAGTATCCAATGGAGTTGATAGTCATTGTTCAGCACATTGTGTAGACTAGAGCAGATGTGATTGCCTATCATCGTGTAGAATAGAGAACCGGGCAAGCTCTATATTTCTCCAAGTTCTGAATGTTTCACCTTACTGAATATGCCTCCACCCCCAGTGCTCCAGAACCTTCAGACCAAGGTTTATTCCATGGGGTGCAACATTTAGAATGCTGCTGTAGATAGAAAGGTAATAGACCTGCAGGGTGACCATTCCATATTCTGCATGCATACATTTCTATCTGAATGTGAACATTCTGTAACATTGTCGCTGTCACCCTCCTGCATATGCTACAGGCTGCCCCGGTTTACCATAGTAACCCCTCTCCCTCAGTTCTCCACCTTGACTTTCAGCAAGTGAAGCCCAGGTGAACGAGCCTCTCGACTACAAGTCGATAAAAACAGTAGGCTCTGGCTCACCCCGCAGTGAGTGTGTACTTCTCAAGGTCTACAGTTGTAGCTGGGGTCTACTAATACACCTAGGCAGTAAACTGTCAATTCTGACATTACAAATTGATCTTTGATGTTGCTTGGCAACATTCAGTAGAAATGGAGGTCAGATGTATAAATATAGCTCGCTGGCAGTGGCAGTTACAGTGCCAAAGGCCGTTCTCTTACCACTGGAACACAGTTTAGGGCCTTAGCCTATTCTAGGACTGTGCTCCTATGGGGCCTGTGTGCTTTTAGCCTAACATTTGTTCTATTAATCAGGCCAATTTTATGACCCTGTTTAGGGTTAATCATTTGAATGTACCCAAGGGTACATGTATCCAATGCGCCAATAATCATAATATAGAGTTAAGTCAATACTGTACTGTCCAGTGGTGGACACAAAGGCCAAAAGGTTGCCCTATGAACAAATTGAAGTCCTATCCAATAAGTCAACCACATATCGGATCTTTTAGGCCCTCTGGTGATGTGTGTGCTATGAGAAAAACAACAACATGCAAAGTTGGAGATTTAACTACAATGAAATGTATTATATTCATATTGCACTAGAAAAACTGAAACATGATTATTTTATACATCCATTTACCTTGTGGGATATGGTGGGTCATTTTGGTAGTAATGAAAACCTGAGCACATGTGCTATGCACCAACCTGGTCTCAGAGCATTTTGTATTATTCTGTACGTAAATAGTTCAACTCCATTTAGTATGATACTGTATGCTACGTTTCGTATGGTATGCATTCATTTGTGGATCTCCATCACCCGTTTCGTATGATATGTTATGAATTACAATTCGTACTATATGTTATGAATTTGCTAAACTTATGATATGTTACAAATTCTAGCTAGGTGGCTAACATTAGGGTTAGCTAACAGGGTTAATGTTAGAGTTAGCTACATACTAATTAGTTGCAAAGTATCTAAAAAGTAGTAAGTAGTTGCAAAGTTGCTAATTAGCTAAAATGCTAAAGTTGTCACTGATGAGATACAAACTCGCAACCTTTGGGTTGCTAGACGTTCGCGTTATACGCCCGACCAACCACCCTACTTTAGTTTTGCCTTAAGTAACCATCTGTCTTATGTAATCATACCAAACTTAACATATCATCCTATATTCAGTGTCCCGGATTTACGTTTACTATATTACGTCTAGTATATGAGACCAGGCTGCATGAGCAGGAGAATGAGGAAAACCTCGTATTCATTTTTAAACAATGAGGAACAAAGGACTGGGTAGTGCTACACGGGCTATTAGTTTGGGAGAGCGGTTATTCACTCCTTTGTCGACGTTACATCATGCAACCAGACCCACATAGCTCTCGAGACACGCGCGAGCTGAGCAGCCTGCTTGTCTGCCTGCTATGCACTTCATTCACTTTTCCATTACTCGTTCGGTCGTCTCTATTTCCAATTCATGCATAAAATATCAGGAGACAAATTTCGCGGCAACACCGGGTATTTATCTATACAGTGCATTGTTTAGTTGTGCATGCCCTATTGGACAGTCCGTGGGTAATTTGCATTTTAAAAGGCAACCAGATAGGCCTGCCCTACAGCTATAAACATGTAACTACTGTATATGTAACTAATGTCTATCTAAAATAGATGGCTTTATTGTGAGCAAATTCAGGTTTATTATAGTGCTATAATTATATTCTACAGTCAACTTGCAACTTGACCCTGGTGGATTGACCAAATATGGTGCTTTATGGTTAGGCTAGTGTGATCTCCTCGAGATGATTGGAATTTGCATGACGTTCGCTACAATGTAGGCCCATATCTGCTACATTCTCTCTATTGCTAATGCAACCGTCAATCAACCCAAGGGCCCATAAAACTCTTATAGCTCGAGGACCCACCTTACATACGAGCTCTTCCCCGGTGTGCAGGTGGGCGGCCCTGAAAACGTGGTCCCCCTCCAAGGGCTCGAGGAGCAGGTAGTTCCCGATGCAGGAGATACAGTGGGAGGAATCTGGTGTTTCAGGGGGGCTAGGGGATCCTAGGTTGGGGCTGAAACTCTGGCTGGATTCTGTAGTCCTCAGGCAAGATAACTCCTCAAAATCGGTCGCTTTGTGCCGTGATCTCCCATAACGCGAGATGTTGATGGGATTTGATCTCTGTATGTTCATCAGGATTCCCTGAAATACTTCCAAACTATCGGGGTCTTCTTCTCTTCGAAGGCAGGGATGTGTAGCAGCACTTCTTTGGGTTGTAAACGTTAGTCGATAGATTGGTTTTTGTGGCCCAATACTTTGTAGCTGCCGTTTAAAAAATATAAATCTAGATGATGTTTTGCGCTATCCTTGCAAGTGCACCTATTACACTGTAATACGTAGGCTAGGCTATGTCAACCTTTATCTGTACAGCTGGAGGGCTCATATGCAATACATGCAAAGAAAGATGCAATTCTAAGATAATGTTTGCAATATGTGGTCTTTATCTACCCAGCTGTAGGACTAAAACAATATCATTGTTCACTGCACCATAACGCACGGCAGCCCTTTGCAGAAGAGATAGTGCTGCATTTGAGCATAAACGCTTTTCCAGAGTGCTAGAGACAGCAATGCCGATTTGCTATAAAATAATCACTCAAAACCTACCGAATGTCATCTTTGTAATGACGACTGGACTGCTAGATTAAAGATTTAGCATAAAGCTAGCCCGCAGATTAATTTAATTACATTACACGTTTTAGAAAATAGAAACAATGTATCCGTCTAATAGCTTGCAGACTGAGACCATACAAAGTAACCGCGGTTAAAATCGCACCGACGTTGCAAGCTACGGTAGGCTATATTTAAATCAACATTAATTATTGATAGCAAAAGCAATGCTATTGCTTCATAGCTACCAGGTCAGTGTCAGATGGGCCTTGTTCGTTCCACAAATGCAGCGAGCTTCGGGATTTGCCATCGACCAAATATGGAGAGAAAACCATCCAGAATTCGTAGCCCTTTGTTGTGTTCGGAAGTGGATGTCCTTTGCGACTAATTTTAAAAACCGAAGTAACTGTCGTCGACTGTTTCAGCTGCTGGAATTAAGGGATGGCCGACTTTCCCAGGCCTTTCCCTTGATTCAGCAAGACATTCTTTCCGGCGGTGGTGTGTACTTACGTGGCTGGGAAAAATCTAGTCCATTCAATGCGAGATCAGCCGCGCAACACACCGTGCCTCAGTGCAGGAGCCGACTGCCTGGCGGATAGGCTTCCACACACACTCTTTCGCTCACACACAGACACACAGACTTGCCTCCGACCCGCCTCCCTTACGTCACATACACACACATACAGAGAGGAAACCCATTGGTTTTCCTGCCGATCTTTGACACAATTAACGTCTACAGTAATATGCAGCAGTCATGTGAGCTGCATGTACACCCTACGAATCTAAATGTAGCCTACCCACGGCTGGTATTAGAGGGGAATGGGGGGAATGGGGGTGTGGTAAGGCAGGCTACTGTAGCCTACCACCAGCCTAGAAATGCCATCCATAGAAATACACAATATATACAAAAGTATGTGGACACCAATTCAAATGAGTGGATTTGGCTATTTCAGCCACACCCGTTGCTGATAGGTGTATAAAATCGAGCACACCGCCATGCAATCTCCATAGACAAACATTGGCAGTAAAATGCCCTTACTGAAGAGCTCAGTGACTTTCAACGTTGCACTGTCATAGGATGCCACCTTTCCAACAAGTCAGTTTGTCAAATTTCTGCCCTGCTAGAGCTGCCCCGGTCAACTGTAAGTGATGTTATTGTGAAGTGGAAACGGCTAGGAGCAACAATGGCTCAGCCACGAAGTGGTAGACCACACAAGAACGGGACCGCCGAGTGCTGAAGCGCGTAGCGCATAAAAATAGTCTGTCCTCGGTTACAACACTCACTACCAAGTTCCAAACTGCCGCTGGAAGCAACGTCAGCCCAATAACTGTTCGTCGGGAGCTTCATGAAATGGGTTTCCATGGCCTACCAGCCACACACAAGCCTAAGATCACCATGCACAATGCCAAGCGTCGGCTGGAGTGATGAATCACGCTTCACCATCTGGCAGTCCGACAGATGAATCTGTGTTTAACGGATGCCAGGAGAACGCTACCTGCCCCAATGCATAGTGCCAACTGTAAAGTTTGGTGGAGGAGGAATAATGGTCTGGGGCTGTTTTTCATGGTTCGGGCTAGGCCCCTTAGTTCCAGTGAAGGGAAATCTTAATGGTACAGCATACATTCTAGACGATTCTGTGCTTCCAACTTTGTGGCAACAGTTTTGGGAAGGCCCTTTCCTGTTTCAGTATGACAATGCCCCTGTGCACAAAGCGAGGTCCATACAAAAATGGTTTGTCGAGATCGGTGTGGAAGAACTTGACTGGCCTGCACAGAGCCCTGACCTCAACCCCATCAAACACCTTTGGGATGAATTGGAACGCAGACTGCGAGTCAGGCCTAATCGCCAAACATCAGTGCCCGACCTCACTAATGCTCTTGTAGCTGAATGGAAGCAAGTCCCCGCAGCAATGTTCCAACATCTAGTGGAAAGCCTTCCCAGAAGAGAGGAGGCTGTTATAGCAGCAAAGGGGGACCAACTCCATATTGATGCCTATGATTTTGGAATAAGCTGTTTGACGAGCAGGTGTCCACATACTTTTGGTCATGTAGTATATATGGAAACATTATTGTTTAACCAGTGCGGCAGGTTACAGAATACCACAGTGGCAACCTATTAGATGATTTGAGATATACTGTAGGCTGACTGTCTGATAATGCATTACATTCAGAAATAATGAATGTTGTAATTTGATGCTTATAACATGTAATAAAGCATTACTGATGATCTGTCTATAATAGCATATATGGTGGTGAGACCTGTGCGTGACATCGGTAGGCCTATGGGTGACCTGAGCCCCATACTGATAGAAAGAGCAAGTAAGGAGGTGTGAGAGCAAGATTGAGCAATTACATGTCGGAATGTGGGGCGTTTAAAGGAAATGCCTGCAGCTGCATGGGAGGGAGACACAGACTGAAGTGTTCATTTTGCCCCAGTCTTCCCATACATGGTGGCAGCTATAGAACTGCAGTAGGATTCCACACAATATTCTGATCTCACAGCCATGCCTGACTAAACCCACACTACATGGTAATGAATTTCTCACACAGAGACAGGTCTCCTCTAGATCAGTGGTGGTGGTTAACAGCTGCTGAATGCAATGCACCTACACGCTATCATATAATATGGTCTCTGTGTGTGTGTTTGCGTGTATGCACTTCTCCAATATCCACTGCATGCCACAGCTCCCACCTACCCAGGTTCTTTCTTTGTATCATTTCCTACACAGAGCTTCTGTTGCAATCAAAGGCTTTGTTTGTCCTTTACAGACATCAAAGAGACCATATTACCATATAATGAATTTAGATCATGTAAATATGTACATTTTGGTTTTAGTTATCACTGGGAGTTAATGTTATCACTAACCAAATGCTCTTGGAATTTACATGCCCACCCACTCTAACTTCAAACATCCGAGCTATAGCCCAACATACACACGTCCTGCTGGATTTCACCACAGATTCTGTTAATCCATGACAACAGAGCAGCTGTGCATGAAATAGAAAAATAATCCCCAAACACTTTGACCCATTCCCTGATGGTTTGATCCATTCCTAGAGGAAAGGAGAAGAGAGGAGTAGAGATATGAAAAACCACAACATTGAAACACATTAGCTCTCTAAACACGTTTGTACTGACGAGAAATGGCAGGCCTACCCAGCGCCTCGGAGCATGTGTGTATGAGAGATCTTTCCTCGAAGACTGCAAATGTCAGTGAGGATGACTCCTGTCTGAATCAATTCCCTGGAGCGTCCTTACTCACTACTCAGTCACCACACTAGGAATAGGAGGAAGTTGCCCCTAAGAATTAGACCAGTTTTCCACCCTAAGACATCCTCCAGTGATTTTTTAACTTTTCCTGTTGGAAAGTGATATCCCAAGTGTAAATACAGTAAAGTACACACACTAAAGGATAAAAAAATAAATGTTTTGAGCAAAATAGTGTTTTTTAGACACAACTGAAAACTTCAAGGAGTAGGGCATTCAAGGAGTTGGTTTGATGGGAAGTCGTGATGTCATCAGCCTCACTCTTGCTAGAGGAACAATGGAGGAGCAGTAGAAAACAAAAGAGGAAAGGCCCAACCCCCCCCTTGTGCTATGTCATGACTTACCTGGACAACCTATTGAGATGTACCTTTTGTAAAGTAAAGCAGGTGTTAAATGAGGTGAAAAGGAGACTGGAGCGCCACTTTAAGATGAGGATTTGGGGAAGGTAAGCTCAAATCAAATTTTATTTTTTTCACATGCGCCGAATACAAAAGGTGTAGACCTTACACTGAAATGCTTACAAGCCCTTAACCAACAGTCTATGACTAGGGTGGCTGGAGTCTTTGAGGGCCTTCCTCTGACACTGCCTGGTATAGAGGTCCTGGATGGCAGGAAGCTTGGCCCCAGTGATGTACTGGGCCGTACGCACTACCCTCTGTAGTGCCTTGCGGTCGTGCCCTCTTCACGACTGTCTTGGTGTGTTTGGACCATGATAGTTTGTTGGTGATGTGGACACCAAGGAACCTGAAGCTCTCAACCTGCTCCACTACAGCCCAGTCGATGAGGGGCCCCCGTGTTGAGGATCAGCGTGGCAGATGTGTTGGTACCTACCCTTACCACCTGGTGGCGGCCCGTCAGGAAGTCCAAGATCCAGTTGCAGAGGGAGGTGTTTAGTCCCAGGGTCCTTAGCTTAGTGATGAGCTTTGAGGACACTATGGTGTTGAACGCTGAGCTGTAGTCAATGAATAGCATTCTCACATAGGTCTTCCTTTTGTCCAGGGGGAAAGGGCAGTGTGGAGTGCAATAGATATTGGATCATCTGTGGATCTGTTGGGGCGGTATGCAAATTGGATTGGGTCTAGGATTTCTGGGATAATGGTGTTGATGTGAGCCAGCCTTTCAAAGCAGTTCATGGCTACAGATGTGAGTGGTACGGGTCGGTAGTAATTTAGGCAGGTTACCTTAGTGTTCTTGGGCACAGGGTCTGCTTGAAACATGTTGGTATTGCAGACTCAGTCAGGGACAGGTTGAAAATGTCAGTGAAGACACTTGCCAGATGGTAAGCGCATGCTCAGAGTACACGTCCTGGTAATCCGTCTGGCCCTGCGGCCTTGTGAATGTTGACCTGTTTAAAGGTCTTACTCACATCGGCTATGGAGAGCGTGATCACACAGTCATCCAGAACAGCTGATGCTCTTATGCATGCTTCAGTGTTGCTTGCCTCGAAACGAACATAGAAGTCATTTAGCTCATGTGGTAGGCTCGTGTCACTGGGCAGCTCGTGGCTGTGCTTCCCTTTGTAGTCTGTAATAGTTTGCAAGCCCTGCCACATCCGATGAGCATCGGAGCCGGTGTAGTACAATTCAATCTTAGTCCTGTATTGTCGCTTTGTCTGTTTGATGATTCGTCGGAGGGCATAGCGGGATTTCTTATAAGCGTCCGGGTTAGAGTCCCGCTCCTTGAAAGCGGCAGCTCTACCCTTTAGCTCAGTGCGGATGTTGCCTGTAATCCATGGCTTCGGGTTGGGGTATGTACCTACGGTCACTGTGGGGACGACGTCATCGATGCACTTATTGATGAAGCCAGTGACGGATGTGGTGTACTCCTCAATGCCATCAGAAATAATCCCGGAACATATTCCAGTTTGTGCTAGCAAAACAGTCCTGTAGCTTAGCATCTGCGTCATCTGACCACTTCTTTATTGACCGAGTCACTGGTGCTTCCTGCTTTAGTTTTTGCTTGTAAGCAGGAATCAGGAGGATAGAGTTATGGTCAGATATGCCAAATAGAGGGCGAGGGAGAGCTTTGTACGCATCTCTGTGTGTGGAGTAAAGGTGGTCTAGAGTTTATTTTCCTCTGGTTGCACATTTAACATGCTGGTAGAAATGAGGTAAAACGGATTTAAGTTTCCCTGCATTAAAGTCCCCAGACACTAGGGGCACCGCCTCTGGATGAGCATTTTCCTGTTTGCTTATGGCCTTATACAGCTCATTGAGTGCGGTTTTAGTGCCAGCATCGGTTTGTGGTGGTAAATAGACAGCAACGAAAAATATAGATGAAAACTCTCTTGATAAATAGTGTGGTCTACAGCTTATCATGAGATACTCTACCTCAGGCGAGCAAAACCTAGACCCTTCCTTAATATTAGATTTTGTGCACCAGCT